GCTATGAGTAAATCGTTTCCATTTTGCGATCCTCCCGATATAAAACAAACAAACTCTTTGCATTTAACGGATCTAATTCAGTCTTAAGATTTTCTCCACACGCTGGTTACCGGAAACACTTTTTTATTTACCCACCTAATCGTTGGCATTTGATGAGACTGTTCTGCGTTCGGATAGGTGAGCTCACAGGCTTAACCAGAGAGAATTTTCTAACCTTAGCTGTATTAAGAGCAGTGGTTTTACAATCAGATCGCAATCGCAACTCTTGCTGGCAGAGAAAATCTGACGAGAAACTTAATGGTTGTGTCTATGAGAAACACTTATAAAGACAAGAACGAATTCATCTCGAATACTAAACATCTTAAAGAAAGACATTGTCCCCTGTCAGGAATCTAACTTTAACCTCGTGGCACGGTATCCTGAGTCACTAACTCATTTTTTTTTTTTTAATGTGTACTTGATGTCTTTCGAGCCCTGAATAAGGTGCCCAATTTATTTGCCTGGACCGATCTGAACACACAGTGTTAGTAAGCTTTGAAAATGTTTTTTACTGGTGGTAGGACCTCTTGTGAGTCTGGACGGCTAGGCACCAACGCCCTGCCTATTTCTGCCGTGAAGCAGTAGGTAATGCGTTTCGGTTTGAAGGGTGGAGCAGCCGTTGTAACTATACTGGGACCTTAGAACTCATATCTCAATATGGGTGGCGGCATTTACGTTGAAGATGTCTATGGGCTCCGGTAACCACTTAACACCAGGTGGACTGTGAGCTCGTCCACCCATCTATGCAATAAAAAATATTGTTCAAATATTCTACAATAACTCTCTAATGATCGCATCGTCCCTTTCGAAGGAATTAGAGAATGATGTCAGGCCTGAACCAGATCCATTCTGGTTTCGTCGATTGGAAGCCGCGGAGTTCCTGGCCTGTGCCAGCACTAACCGATTTCTGCTCGTCTCCACGAGTTCGTGGCCCGCCTTAACTCATAAACACAGAACGTAAACAACACGACGTAAAAACATAACACTTGTTCAATCCTCATATCGCATTATACCAACCACCCTACTCGGATTGCATTTTATATGTGGCAAGAATACTTCGTAACTGGGAGATGTGTATATGTTGCAACGAATGGTGTATGATCAATCTAATTGTGATTGTTCTATTTATTTCAGGTAATTTAAATTAATTAAAACTACCCTTACAAATTAGTCCCGCGCTATTTGTTGTTCTGTAAAGTATTAGGAACGTGGCAAATAATATAGTGACAATGAAAACTTGAGATAAGTTTTTGTTATTTTTCTGACTTGCGAATACCAAAGAAAATACTTTTTTCTCCCTTCCCAATGGGAACTAACCTAAGGAGATATTCCAGTTACTCTATGGCTGAGAGGTAAGTTGACGAGCTCAAGCTTAGAATATTTGCTAGTGTGCCCTAGCAAGAGCAGTGAACGTAGATTATAATCAATATAAAAAAAAAAATCAAAATCGTACATTATATGGAGTGCTAAGAAAGGCTTAAATATAGTAATAATAATTTCTATAAATTAAGCCATACCATTGAACCACGTTACAATAAAAAAAACCGCTAAGGAATTTGTACGTGTATAATGTTTTTTTTTTTTAAATTACCGACCGACCAATTAAATGACAAATAGTAACTGAGGCTTTTAAAAATTTAGGGTATAATACTCTTTGGTAGACGTCACGTGCCGCGCTTATATAGCTGTCTCGAATTGTTGACATTAGTGGCGTTGACATTACTTGCTGTATGACGTTTATGAATTAATGTTTTTACAAATAATCCCGCCTTTTACATCGAGATTGTTGTGTCACGTATGTAACCGAACAATAGTACAATGGAGCTCTTGAACAGAAGCACGTTTATTTTTGTGATTAAAGTTGGTTCTTACGTATTGTAAAACACCTCTTAATTAATATATAATTTTTTTTTTTTTGGTCAGGAGGAAATCGCCAGACTTCCGCCCTCCACTGGGGACGGCGGGCGGAGCATGTCGGAGTCGAACCGACTAAAACCTACTGTCGATCAACAACCAACGTTGGACGACCTCACATGAGACAGAACTCATGAAAAGGCAAAGGGGGTAGGGGGGAAAGTGAAGTGTTTAGTGCGGAGCACATCTCTCCCATCACCCTCCCCCTCGGGACGCCGGACTGGCGGTCGTCGGCGCCACGACCAGGCTATCCGGAGCCCGCCTAGATGGCGCCGGTTAGAGTGAGCTATCCTACGGAATACCCCGCTGAGTCAGAACCAGCGTGGGTCGAGGATAGCCGGCCTTCCATCACCCGGATGCTCTTGCGTAAAACGCGTGCAGAGCAGCTTGCATGACGTCCTCTTAGGTCCCCCTCGCCGGTCCCCAGACCGACATATGAGGGGGACCCGAAACACTTAGAGGGCCAGGGCTTGGGCGAGATCCGCCTCCCTGGCCCCAATTAATATACATAATATATTCCGGAGAATCCGAGTTAAGCAATAGAGTTAGAGAATAGCGTCACACAATTATGAGAGTGGTGCTCTGTTTATATTACAGAAGTGTAGACTGAGCACTCGATTTTATCACGATAGCTTGCGATAGGTTTCTGTTAACGACAATCGATTATGATACTGATGAACGGTATACAATATTCACAAATATACCGTTGATATGAAAACAGACGGTATCGAACAAAGCTGTCAAAATGTCCGTGGCTTGATTAGTAAATAAGAGGACCTGGATAATAATTTAATAGCTTTGTCGCTGAAATAACTATTTGTTTTGAAATAATAAATAGTTATTGAACGGGTTCTAGCGCGATTTTAAAATTACATGTTTTCCCGATATTTCGGCGTGCTGCTGCTATGACGATGGGAACTCATGAAATGTGAAAAACGTGGAAAGAACCCTTTATATTGTGTAGAGGAAGTTAGTTATCGAAATACAGCCAGAATCGTACTATACTGAGGATTACGGTAAAATTGCCCGAGGACCCGTGGTTACACATTAAAATTTATGGTTGTTTACCTCCAGACGACCCTAAACTGGGTTTTTTTGCTGTTTTACACACAAAAACGCATCGAGACCAAAGTACCTAGCTTCTTTCCTAAATATACTAGATCTGGACCGGGAATCGATACCTTGATACAGCAGTCACCATCAGCAACGGTGCTAAAACATTTTTCATGGAAATTGTGTCCATGAGTACTGAAGAAATACGGACGCATATAGACGGTATAACGCAATGCAGGGTATTGGCACTGTATTGTTAATGCCATAGGTGACGATTATGCGGATTGCTTCTTCTTGAAGTGCCAAGTTACGAAGGTCGACCGACTTTAAACGCAGCTCGGAACAAATTAAACTTTCGAAGAAAATTCTCCTTCTCTGTAACGAAATGTTTTTTTTACGAGCTCACTGCCCACCTTAACACCAGTTAAGTGGTTACTGGAGCCCATGGACATTTACACCCACCCACCCACGTTGAGATATAAGTTCTAAGATCTCATTATAGTTACAACGGCTGCCCCACCCTTCAAACCGAAACGCATTACTGCTTCACGGCAGAAATAGGCAGGGCGGTGGTATCTACCCGCGCGGACTCACAAGAGGTCCTACCACCAGTAAAATATGAAATGAAAAAAAAATGAATGTTGGGACTTCTTCTCACAACAACTTATCTCTACGTTATACATTTGAATTAAACAAATCTAGTACCTACCTACCATAAATGAATATTAAACATTTTAAATGACGAAATTTCATTGTGTTAAAAAGAAATGGTTACTATTTTGAATCTTAAGTTAAAAGATTTTAAATTTTACTTTGAATATTAATGTGCTCATGATCTCACCATACCTACTGGTATTAACGAGTGTTCGAAGTGAATAATGCTTCGTTGTGTAAAAGAAACTATATGGGGTTTCACGTTTTGATAACTACGTGTCCAACCATTCAACATCAGGTTTGCTATGAAAACGTTCAGCCATCTAGGCAATATAAATTTTAATAAAACAATATGATTTACACCACCCACTTTTAGATATGAGATAAAAAATTAAATAATTATTAGAATATAATCACATTTATGACTAACTAGCGACCCGCCCTCGCTTCGCTTCGGAAACATTATAACACACATGAAACCAAAAAAATTAAATAAATAAAAAATTTAAAAAAGTAGCCTATGTTCATCAGGGACAATGTCGGCTTCAAATGGAAAAATAATTTTTCAAATCGGTCCAGTAGTTTCGGAGCCTATTCGAAACAAACAAACAAACAAATCTTTCCTCTTTATAATATTAGTATAGATATAGATTGGCTAAACTGTGTGACACAAGTGGCCCTGCTAGTAAAAGACTACTAATAAACTAGTAAAACCAGTACCGCGTGTAGTAACAGTAGGTATATGTGAGTAAATTCAGGAAGCGATTTTATTAAGAGGAAATTTACCGTGTTTGTCTTGTTTAAAAAAGTACGCTATTAATACATAAGACGGCACAAAACCGCCTGCCTCCTTTCTTTGTTTGAATTAGGAAAAACACGACTGCAAGTGATGTCGGAACATATGATTGTAGCAACCTTCACTGGGTTTTCCTCTACACGTTTCAATGGCCGATAAGTAGGTGCATATACGTGTCTCATTCGTTTATGAGACACGCGAACGACGCGTCACGCCACCGCAGTTTTACTGGAAGGACTACATAAAGAATGGAAGCTTTTTTTTTTATAATATTCATGTTTTTAGATTCAAAGCTACCGAAAATCCATAGGGGCTTGCGATAGCGATTACATTTATTAAGACCTTATTTGTAATGGTAAGATCATATAGCCTATACTCACATGACGGGAGAATGGCGAGATTTATGACACGGTTTTATTAGCAAATATTATTAAGAGTGATGAGGAAACAAGTGAATATACACCAGACACAAAAATCCCCTCTTGTCTTAATTACTATTGTAATGGAGTGAAAATTATAATCAATTAATTATTTATTTTTTCAGATATTAATCGGCATTACACTGATGGTGTGGGTCGTGCAAAAAGCCCGAAAAGAGCTCACCATAGCGATAATGGCCGCGGAACTAGGCCGAGAAACAATATCGACGTCAAGCAGCTCCTCAATCAGCTAGCCCACGGCGAAAGCGTCCACCGACATGGACAGTGTCTCTGAAGAACGTCCCAGCTAGGGACGGCTGCTCAGGTGCCCCGTGTTACCCAGACCGAGATGGAACCTACGTCTGAATAAGGGCTCTGTACCCTGGTGATATTATTATAAGTTGACTGTGCCTCTAAGAGGATTTTGAAAGTGAATGAAATGAGGTTTGTATCTATGTCGCCGCATAGGGATTGCTTCACGAATAGCAAAGGCAATTTGGTGAATTAGCGAAGTCGAAAATGATTTTGCTTGCTGAATAGTGGTGTAAGACATAACAAATATTAAATGAATGCGACGTTAAATTCACTAGAGTGAAAATAACTCGTGCATTAATCTACCTATTGACTGATATCCAATACTATTGATACTCGTTTGCTTATCATAACACCTCTCTCATATTAACCGTGTTATAGTTTCAATTGCCTATAATAGAGTGACTTGCGCCACCATAGAATAGTCAAGCAGTGACTTAACGGGATTCTCGTTAGTACATAAATATGTGTTTCGATTGGCAACTTGCAATTTTCCTAGTCATCACGGCCCTATCAATGGCTTTATAGTATGATAATACATACGTCGTTTTTGTGTCGAAGGGTCGTTGAGCGACCCTTGGTCGGAACCGATCGTATTTTGAATGATTACAATGTCTCGCATGCAAAGTGACATGTTTGCTCTCGTTTGAAATGTTCGTAATGCGTAGAGTTCAATAAAACATTGAAATATACATAGATAATGTTGAAATACTTCAGTGCCATAATCACAACGCGATATACTTCCAAACGATTTCATTGCGTGCTTTTACCCTTTGCATAATATTACGGAACGGTGGGTAGTTGAATAAGAAACTTTATTTCTTCCGAATTCGAGTTGATACATTTCAATTGTTTTGATTCTCACGTGATTTAAGGGCGTGTTACACTATTTTTTGTAGATTTTCGATATTTAATTTTCTCTGTAATGTAGTATGTACTTTTCGAGGTTGCATCGTCTGATGCGAAAGTATTTCTACTGGAAACGGTAAAGTGGCTGTCCCGCCACTTAAACGATGCAATAAATAAACATTTTGATATGTAATAATTTTCTTAAGTATATATTTAAATGTTGACCTTCCGTATTTCTTTACAAAGTTTTCTTGCCATATTTTTTCATTTTGTAATCTACATAGGAAGTTAATTGGCTTTTCTGAAAATTTAATATAAGCCGTTGACGTTAATTATAATTAACTTGTTGATAGGATCACAGCCGTATGTTTTATTCATAACTTGAGGTTTTATTTTTATAACTACAATTCTATGGAATGCCCTTTTCCAATTTGCATAATTAACCTTTTGAAATGATTAAAAATCTAACAAATCATTCTTATCATTGACGCACGTAGTAGAGACAATTGTAAAGTTTTTTATTAATAGTAATTTTATAAATATTTTTATCAATGATCCTTTTAAAAAAAACAATGTTATTAAGACGCCGCAAAACAGGTCGCATTAAAGTATATTTTAGTAGTAAAAAATGCTTCCGTACTCTGTAAATTTTACTTATTATAAATTTAATATTTAAAAAAATTATTCTCGACACTGGAACGGTAAGGTCGGATGTCTTCGATTTCAAATATCCAAATTAATTATTTCAAACTGTAATGGGACTACGAAAAATTTCAAGTTAATATTTGTTTAAATAATTGATCGAATGTAATGTAGAGTAACGTGTAATAGCTAAGAAAAATGAAAACAAGAAAACACAGTAATCCGTATGGATGCAACAGATTTGGCCTTAACGTCTGGTGTTGAGTTTTAACATCGGTTTAACTGAATGTGAGTAATCCGATAACTATAATCCGGTGTTTGAAAAACGAATTGTCTGACGCTTAGGAAATGTCAAATTGACATTGGGTCACGCCAGGTTTGTTCCTGTCAAACCTAGAAAAAGAATTCAGAAATAATAACAATTCGACTAAATAAAAACCTAGTCATTATTATGATAGTATGTATAATTACGTAAATACGTACGAAAATAATTAACTATATTTATTAAATTATACATACTTTGTTTGAATTATTTTTTTAAAACTCACGTATTTGCTACTGGAAAAAAACACTGTGTTACCTACATAAAGATGATTTATTTTATTTTTGTAATAGTTTACTTATCTGACCTTTTGCCTTGTACGTAATGATAAAACTACTATTAACATGTGATTGATTAGTGAGTGTTAGTAATTAAGTGAGTTTAAGATGAATGAAAATTTAAGCCTTCTTAAAAATAGCTTTTTTAAAAATCATAGATACCGAAAGGTATTAAATGATTTTGTATTTATTTTTGTCTACTCTGAGACTAATATACAAATTACCAATAATATTAATAATAGAGACGAACGCGGGACCTCTTTAAAAATGGACACTCGAAGTTTCTCCTTTGTAATATGAAATACCGACAACAAAGCCAATAAAATAAAAAACATCCCTACATTAATAATTTTAATAAGAGTATCTAGGTGAAACTAAAAATTGTTTTCTCTTGTCACAACAAAATGCTTTTCCTCCCCAAACATAAAATTCTTTGCCGCGATATTAACGTGAGATTATGAATGGAACCAAATAGGTTAAGTGAATGCATGTCTAAACTTTTTGATAAAAATAAATATTTTTCGGCGAAAACGCGTTTACCGCTATATTTTTATTCTAACTGATCTGAGTGTTCTGAGATTAAAAAATGCTTTGTTGAGACATTTTTTCATTATTTTGTTATTATTTAATAGGTGTAAGAATGTTAGTCAGCTAGTTATTTCTATTATTAAAATAATTATTATATTAACATGATATGCACTAGATAAGGAAACAATAACATCACAATAATGTAATTATTGTACATAAAAAGTAGATTTTACAGTATGAATCCTTTATTTATTTTTTCTCAATTCGGTCGTAAATAAATTAGATGAAATCTAATTTTAAAAATGATTCTGTCTCTACAAATCCCTTTTTAGAAATGTTGCCAAAATTATATCGAAACTAGCTCATTAGCTTTGCACGTCAATATTTAGTAAATGTACGTAATATAGTAGTACATTTAGTAATCAAACAGAATTCGATTGACGCATTCCGAATAGCACATGTGATTGAATTCAACGTCAACTAAAATACATATGTCAATGTCAAATGTCAATTTGACATAACTAATGTTGAATTCTTTTTTTTTTTAAGAGATTTTATGACCTGGTAACTGAGACCTTTAAGTCATGTCTTATTTTAATCTATATTCTTAATTTTATGAAAAATGATATTATGGAGTGAAATGAAATGAAAATGATTAATTTGAGACATTAATCAACTGGGATGAAATTAAATGAGATGATATGAGATGAAATCTGATCTCAGTAAAATGGTGGTCATTTACTAAGATTTTTCAGTGGACTTTTTGGAGGATCCCGAGAAGTTACGTCCAGCGGTTTTGTTTCATTTTCCCACATTTGTGCACTTTCACAGATATTAAACGGTTAATAAACCACCATTATTACACATTTAAACCCGAAGAAACACTAAATAGACAAAATAAAACAAATCACACAACTTCACTCCTCGCGTTCCCGCCAAAAAGTCCAATGTTGAATTCAAATAATACTGAACATAGATGATATGACACTGAAGACTACTGTCAAATAGGATAAATACACTAACTGGATAAAGTGGCATCGCATAAAAGTTACTTAAAAATCTGCAACTAAACGCCTTTGCATACGTAAAGCCACTTAAAAGACGAGTCGTTAGATTAATTTACAGCTGCAACATATTTCAATGGCACGGAGATAGGCATATCTACGGTACAAATAAAATCGGCAATATCTAATAAAATATAAGATGGGCTGAACGAACGAACTAAGAACGAACATGCCCATAAACATTCAGTACAGAGCAAAGTGCTAAAATCTTTAACATGTTAATATTTTGTTTTTTTACAATTCAACCAACTTATTTAATGCTTGCGGTGTATTTTTAAAAAATAAGTCTCATTATGTATCGAACAAAATTTGGAAGATGAAATAAATTATTTGAATTACATAATTTTACACAAATGATATCAAATATTTTGCGTTTGTGAATAAAAAATATAAATCTGATATCAGATAAAAATTATATATGATAATAATATATTGAGAATAATATAGCAGATATTGGTTTAATATTTATTTAGTTACTTTGTTTTTGTAATGTTAAAAGGACTGGGAATTGTACCTTGGGTATTTTAAGATTGCAGTGCGAACTGTAAAACTTGGCTGAACGCAGAATTAATTACGTGTGACGTCATTTGAGGCTAAAGAGCGACCTTACCATAGTCCAGCACTAATTGCTGTTTAGCTAAATGTGAACAATGTTAGAATACTCGTATATGCATATGCGTGGATTCAAAGAAAGGCTATTTGGTTTAAACATTAGTGACATTTTTGACTTAAGTGACATTTTTACAACTTTACAGGAGAGCCATTTATAGTTTAAAATTTGGGAAAAATCTTGTTCAGTTTGAATAGGAAAGAAATTGAAGTTAAATTAAAGACATCGAATTGTTGATGCTAATACCAAAGAAAACTGACCTTTAATTACAAAAATAAATGTCACTTAAACCAAATAAGCTTTCACCCATCGATAAATATTTTTTAATTAATTAAAATATTAATGTCTCATCAAAATAGTGTTTGAATGATTTAATATGTATTTTTCGTTGTTTTATTATCAATCTCCGGCCTATTTTCTATATTAATTCATGAATCTGATAATATGTGGAATGAATTTTATTACAAAGTGCAATATTATGTAATTCTAAGGATCTTGAAGCTATTTATTTTGTAATATCAATTTTGTAAATATGACTAGTTTTATAATATCGACGCTTGAAAGGCAAACATGACTAAGCGATAATACTGCTTTGTATATAAATGATAGGCAATCACCATATTTGATGCGCAAAAAAAATTTATTTCTAGGTCTATTAAAATCATTTCAATCCTACAGCTACTAGCTAGATTCGTTAAAATAAATTTTGTTTTCAGGTATTTCAACTTTAAATTAGTCTACTGTAAAGTTCACGCATTGTCGCTTAGTCACGTTTGCCTTTCATGCGTCGATATGTATTGTTTAAAAAAAAAACAATTTAATTTCTTTAAATTAACAATGAATTGGAAAGTTATTTTCTGAAACATGTGTATACTGTTTGTTCTTGCTAACCGATATGTTTGCGGCGCACGAATTTTATTCTAAATTAGGGAAATTCGACAGATCCTTCATCCTCTTTTTCTGACTTTAATTGATAATTTAACAAGGTTCTAAATTCCACGAAATTTCTATTTGCCCAATAGTCGTATCTAAGTCAATTTCATTTGTTTTAAACTGACTCAACTGTTTTTGAATGTTCTAGAAAATTCACTGCCAACCGTAATCTTTGTACTTTCTGTAGATGTGGAGATTGTTATTACCCATATCATGACATCACAGCCTGAATACCGCCTTCCGCCTTCAGACATAAGATTGAAGACTCAAATTTCAAGCCCTCACCCTTCACCCCAATCGATTCTGGTTTAAAGGATAGACAGTTTCATACCAGAAAAGGGCATGCGAAATTGATTTTTATGTTACACCCGCTGTTCTATTTCCGTTCAGTATGTAAAATTATTAGTGCCAAATAATTTAAATACAAAAATTCGATAATTACATTAGTAGTTTAGATATAATATTTTTGACCACGTCAATAATGTTATTTTTATATAAAGGCATTCAAACATTATAATGTATAATTAAAATATAAAATCCGTTTCAAGTTCATGATCAAACGCAACGGAATAAACTATTAGCAACAACAACGCCGTTTCATAATAATAATATGTGTTTAAATAAATATATATATAACAATAAGTAAAAATCAATTTCAAATGTAAATGTACCTACATTTTATATTCTCAAAACGTATAATGTTTCATAATAAATGACGACGCTCAGAATTTAATACGAAGAAAAGGTTTATTTTGTAATGTTAAGTATTGAATTGAAACTAAGTATAAATTTATTAAATGCATTTACTCTTAAAAGCGTTTATTTTTTTTTTCATGATTTTCCCTGTGACCTTATTTGATTATGTGGGTAAGTTAAATTTTACAAATTTAATTTGCTACGTCTTTAAAGGCATTCGTAAATATAAATCATATTGCACACTTCATTTAAAAAAGTGGCACCTGCCTGCGGGATTTGAATACTAGTATTTAGTCGCTTGATATGGTACACCTGGCGTCTTATGCTTCGGAGTAATTCGGAGTTCATAAGGATCGCTACTGGCGCTGTTAACTGCATACCTACCAATTTGAGTAATTTTACGCTGTCGAGAACGTTAAAAAACTCGCACAAAGCACACAGGTCATGACGAATTTTAATTTGTGGCAATAAAATAGAGAAAGTTAAATGCACAACGTACACATTGTCTTATTTACAATTTATTGATTGTATTGAAAATGTTAATTTAACATGCAATCAAAACAAAACACACTTAACGCCTACGCAACCACCAACATTGTACATAGCATATCATCCAAAGTGTCTTCTTTTTTAATTTCACAATATAAACGAATTTAAAATAAAAACGTATCTTCAAAGAAATTTAAAATAAAATATTATTCACAATTGCCTTGTTAGCCCTCATTCTTAAATATAAGCAGTGTAGTGAATTTTATGTTACATAACGTTGAGTTTTATAGTAGTTAAGTGTTAAATTTCTAATAGCCAATGGATTTATTTCGTGAGAAGGGCTTAAATTCTAATTTGGGTCTCCTTTTGAGTGACATGAAGATAGAATCATTTCATACTTAAAATCAAGCACTTCAGGGCTCCTTTACCCCTCTAAAAAAATTACTGTCCCTTTCTCAGAGACTAATTCCTATCCTATTGTTATTATAAAATTCTGAAAATTACATTTATTTCTTAATTGAAATTTACACATTTTTCGTCAATTTAAGTACGACTCTGACACCAAATCTTTGTGTTATCTTTTCATCGAAGTAATTTCTAATGTTTCTGAACGGAAAAAAATATTTGCCATTGGTTGGTGTTTCCAAACAAAAGTCGAACTGTCATTTTCAATTTATCATGGCGGAGGACGAAGACGGTGTTTCGGAAAAGAACTCTCCCCAAAGTTTAAATAATGAGGAACAAGCACAAGAAACTGAGCAAAATGCGTTACAACCTGACCTAGGTATTGAAGTAGCGGGACATGGCGATAGTGAGAACGGCGTGGCATCTCCCACCGAGTCAAAAAGACCGTCTTCCAGTGAGTGTTAAACGAAGTTGTTTTTTGTCCTAAATATAAAGACATTCCTGGCAGACCGTCCGTTTGCATTGCAGAGTCGACGGGAGCAACGCGGAAGGAAGAGAATCCGTTTTCGTTCCGGCATTTCTTAAAGAGGGATCTATCGTTGCCGGGCACTTCAACTTATGAGAACACGGGGGCTCGACCTAAGGTGTACGCCAATACAGTGCAGCACTCGCCAACTCGGGTCGAAGGGCATGCCGAGTCGCGCCGGGACAAGGTCCGAGCACTCGACACGCAAGCCAAAGAGAACAACGCCTGTGATAATGCGTCTTGTAGTAATTCCGTAGAAATACCTCTAAGTGTAGTGGATAATTCCGATTCCAAAAATAATTTTTATTCAGCCAGTAACAATTCGCCCTATTACCATAAACCAAATTTAGCTTCCGAGCCTTTAGGCATGCCCTCATTGCCTGACTTTGTTCAGGACCATATATTAGTGGAACAGGCATATCTTAATACCAATGGACCTATCTCTGTTGATTTGGACAATTTGCCAGACTTTACATTTAATACTAATTTTAATGCTGGGTCATCATCATCTCTTGGTAGAAGGAATAACAGTTATGGAAGTAATAGGGGGTATGATTATGAGGAGTACATGGGTGCAGTGTCAGCTTCGAATGATTCTGGATCTGGACGAAATATTCCACTTGACCTGCCAGAGGGAGCTGAAGCTGCAGGGCCAGTACCACTGGACTTGCCTCCCCACTTGAGCCTGGACCTCACTGACTCTGTGAATCCTAGTGACAGGAGAAATGTGTCACCGAGAAATACATTTCCATTAGATCTGCCACCAAATGCAGGTGAGTTTTATTAGCTAATTATCAATTTTAAATTATACACTATGGTATAAATTCTATGGTATAAATTATATGGTTCTATGGTATAAAGTGAGATATCTGTGTGAGATCTGAATTCGAACTTTTGACCCCAGCACATAATATTATTAAAATAGCTCTTCAAGAATAAAATAATATACATTTAAAGTTTCTGAAATCTTAATACAGACTTAAATTTATTTCATGCCAATCAGATAAAGGTTAAGTATTGAGCATTTCTCTATTCATATGTTATGTGATTAAAATGTGAATAGGTTTGAATTGAAAGTTGAAGTTGAAGGTTGAAATTGAAAAGGTGTTTGAAGTTTCACAGGTGTTTTAGTCTGAATATAATAGCGATTTTAATCTTTGATTTTTAAAATATAAATGAAATTCAATGAAATTCCAATTTTTTTATTGCTGCTCACAGCCCGCCTGGTGTTAAGTGGTTACTGGAGCCCATAGACATCTACAACGTAAATGTGAAAAAGCCATATCTCAAGCAGTACGTATCTGTAGTGTACCTGTAATATGAGACATTCAAGATTAGGCACTATATTTTCTGAGGATAGCCTGAGCAGATTTATACAATAATAGAACAACCATAACAAATTATACATTAATTTATTGTCTCGAAGTGAACAATGGCATTCATATTGCTATGTCAATGGCCTGAAGTAACCAACTGGTGATAGGACCTCTTGTGAGTCCGCGCGGGTAGGTACCACCGCCCTGCCTATTTCTGCCGTGAAGCAGTAATGCGTTTCGGTTTGAAGGGTGGGCTGGCCGTTGTAACTATACTGAGATCTTAGAACTTATATCTCAAGGTGGGTGGCGCATTTACGTTGTAGATGTCCATGGGCTCCAGTAACCACTTAACATCAGGTGGGCTGTGAGCTTGTCCACCCATCTAAGCAATAAAAAATAAATAAATAAAACTAAGGCCAGGGAAACCAAGAACCAAACCGCAGTATTAAAACAAAAATTTAATGCTATGTTTCTATATTTAATCAATGATTAAATTCTAAGACGAGGGAGAACTAGGAGAATGGTATATGTAGACAATTCATTTTAGTACTACACTTTGTGTAGTTATCATGAACTTATGATTCCAAACAGGAATCTATTTTAATAATTACTTATAATGTTAAGTTGACTATCAACAACAACATAGAATATCTTATTAATTACAAAAGATTGCTTTTGTAAGTTGCAATTGTAGATGTCCAAGCAAGGAGTTGGATTACTTGTGTGTCCAAATGATCATGAAAACTATAGATAGTCAAAATTAAAAAAAAACTGCAAAACTTTTTAGGAGCAGAATCGATGAGGTTACCAGATTTTCTGCCTGTACACCCAGGAAGAACATCCCCAGAGCCAGAGCACCAGGATGAACAGCTTCAACAGATCATGTCTGAGCTTGAAAGGACCAGGTAGTCTTTATTCATTGATCCTTTGTTCATTTGTTTACATTGTTTTTTTACTTGATCAGCATTCCAATTTTATGATTAGCTACCAACCTAGTGTTGCTTGAATATTGTTTGAGATTGACATAGCAAACAATGGAATGTACTTAATAGGAAAGTTATTGTGTTCTACAAACTAAATTCATGCCACCAATATTTTCATTATTAATTGGATATTTTAAAACTGAAACCATAATTACTTGACGGTTGATTAGTTATAAAAATAAGAAATTTTGATTTGTAACACTTTCTGAAGAGTAGTTACTCATAATTGCAGATCGGAATTGTTCACGGAGCGCAGCCGGCGATGCAGATTGGAAGAGGAAATCTCCCGCCTGCGAGCCTCTGAGTCCGATCTGCGAGCTCGGCTCCGGGATTGCACCCAGGACAGACAATACAAAGGACAGCTTGACGCAGCCGTCTCCACTGTGGAGAATAATTTTATGGATGCTGCTGTAACTACTTTTTAATTATTAATGACTAGCTCATTCGAAATTTAAAAGTGCCTCTAACATCTACACACTTCTAATTCGATTGAATGAATAAATAGAGTAAGTAAAGTAATAAATAAAGTAAATAAGTATTAAAGGACCAGTTACTACAAGCCTGAATTGCTAAACTACAACACGGAAGCCATAATCAGCCAGCCATCAGCTTCTGGATTACTAGAAGGCCATTATTATATAAAGCTCTTTACGTTAATTTATTTGGGCAAATCAGTTGTTTTCTTAATAAAAAAAATAGGAGCCAGTGAAATGAAATGTTTCTAATTAATATTTTATTTTATTTTAGGTGAGAGCAACAGAGGCTGAATCTACAATAGAAAGACTTAAAAAACAAATAAAGAAATTAAAGGTTAGTATTATAGTACAATGTTAACAGATGTTTGACAGCAATATATGGATATCACGATAAAACCTTAAAACACCTTAAACATCATTTTTAAATAATTTTAACTTTAAATTTGCTGAATAGTATCATAGAGTGTGCTTGCACTATCTCCGAACCTAAATGGGGATAAATCACAATCCTAATATGAACTAGAACTATGGATACTACCAAATAAAATAATTCTTGCTTTGAACATTATATTTAAAAGCAATGCAGCTGATTACTTTCCACACGGTTTTGATTCCCTTGAGACTATGTTTTGCATGCATCATGGAAGAAACATTTTTTATTGTGATTTTGCTTTATATACCTAAAATTCCTAGCTCAATCATTGTTTTCGAAAATCGCCTTTATAAACGGATTGTATGCTGAATTCAGTTTTAATAATGCTTCGGCTCGTCAGTCCATGTCGTGCGCGTCTGTCAGCACTCATTACGCGGCGGGCTGATGTTGCAGAGTGTGTGTTGCAGGAGGAGCTGGCGGCGTCGGAGGCCGAGGTGGCGGGTCTGCGCGCCGGGCAGCGGGGCGCCGCCGCACAGCTGCGCCGCGCCACCAGGCTCGCCGACACCTCGCTCAGGTACGTCCGCTGCAGTGACCCGGAGTGGCAGTGTGGAACCCCGGGGGCAGTGTGGAATCCCGGGGGCAATGTGAGATCCCCGGGGGGCAGTGTGAGATCCCGGGGGCCAGTGTGGAACCCCGGGGGCAGTGTGGAATCCCGGGGGCAATGTGAGATCCCCGGGGGGCAGTGTGAGATCCCGGGGGCCAGTGTGAGACCCCGGGGGGACAGTGTGAGATCCCGGGAGGCAGTGCATGCGACAGCTCATAATATTGTATTCTGTCAACAGAGAACTCTTGGCGGGACTCGGACAACTGAACACGCTCAGCTCGACGCTGGACCCGACATGACGCGACCCGGCACGTCCGCTGTAGTCTAGCTCCGACCACAGAACATAGTGAATAAAAAACCGATGTTGTCTACGGTAACAAAGTGTGAAATATCTTATGGCTTGGAAAAGGACTGGAATTTGTTAACTTACTCGTTTTGCGTTTCATAACATTACAATACAGCATAGTGTAAATAAAAGCTTTTTAAGCATTCGATTAAGATAAAGCTAGTGATACATATATGTATTATATTTTAAAGTCAATCTTAGAATTGAAATTTGTTTTATGTATTGTACTGCAAATGAGTTTTGTTTATAAATTTGAGCCACAAAAATAAACTGTTATTGGTTAAATTAAATTCAACGGCTGAGCTCACAAGCTGCACGGTGGCCGGATCTCCACGCACTGCAGCTCACCGGATGAGAGTTTCTCTGCCTCTGTAGCAGTAGAGGGGCAGCAGACTGGTCTGGGACAGACGCTGTCCCGGGAAGAACTACAGCTACTGATGTTACTAAATAAAACTAATGGATGTTGTTATGCAGTAATGTATCGTCAACTATTCGAAATTAATTCAATTTTTATTTGTTTGTAGGCCCTTTAATCTCAGCTTTTCAAAAGGTCAAAATGCCTTTTTATTTAAATTAAAAATTTTAAAGACTCGAATGATTAGAAGGATCATAAAGTTTTAACAAAAAGATTTTTTTCATGACCTGTATTATTCCTTCAAGGGATGTCTAATGCTTGTTATACATGCAGATTTGTACGCAAGCTCTGGAAACTCTCAGAATTAGCAATCTTTGTAATTTGAGAGACAAAGTCGGAATTTCTAATAGTTTTAATAGTATGTCAATATTAGGAATAACAAAAACTAATCTTTTTACTTATTCCAAACTGGCAAATAATATCTGTTACGTACATTATTGCATGAAACAGTCCTATTCTGTACATATTCAATACTATGCATACGTGTGTTTCAACTGCCCGTTTTCGTAAATATTCCAAAGAGTGTGAGTGTATCATAAATGTGTAGTTTTTAGTGTACTGTAGTATCTAATTTAAAAGAATAAGATTGTTTTTAAAATCATTCTCATTGGTGTTACATTGAATAGGGGCTTAGTGTATTAGTCGCTGGAAGTATGACCAGCATTCTCGTGTGTATTATCAATCTCCTCCAATCGTATGATCGAGGCAGTGCTGTATGCTCTAGATCGGATTTTGTCTTTTACAATGACGGTCAGCTTCCACCACGGTCGTGAGAAAATATAGTGCGTCCTAGAACTACTTACATTGAGTTTTGTAAGGCGTAATCATTTTTGTGAGATCAGTAACGTGATACCTCAAGTATGAGCTATATTGTTTTGCAAACCATACCCAGTGCCTATTAAAGGTACCGTGTGCGAAATAGACTATTTCAGAATAACGAATTACAATTTTGTTTTTTGTATCCTCTGTGAATTTGTTCCTTCGTCCTATTTTTATTTGAAAAGGATACGGAAGCCCGTTACAAATGAACTCTAAACTTTGAAAGTTATTTTGAACTTGCAAACGAATCGATTATTCGTTTTATTATTGTAAAGTAAATTTAAATAGTAGATTTTCTTATCATGTTGTGTATAGGGAAACAAAAATAGATGAAACACAAAATCGCTAATTTTTATTTCTTCATTTCATTAATTATTGAAAGAGAAATTATGCTTTAAAACAAATTAACTAAGTTTCGAAACAAAAGCTTAATACTTATTAACTTATTAATTTAAAAAAGGCACTTGCCTTTTTACACCTTTGCCTGTAACAAAAACTTTTTGTTTTTTATTTTGCACTTTATGTCAATACCGTTACCTCGGCTCCAAAGAGTAACTATTCAGAAAATATTTTCTCATAAAATAATTATGTAGGTAATTAAATATTATATATTCTTTGTCATTATAAATAGTTTTAGAAGACAAATAATACAGTAAGTTTTTTTGTTTTTTGTTGTTGCCTAAGAACTTGTGAAACAAAATTTCAATCTCTGGTTTTCAGTCAATTTTCTCTTTGAAAATTATAGGTAATAGTTACTGCAACAATCACTGCTTATTCTTTGGAGGGCAGGTACCAATAACCTTTTTTTTACTATTGTAATGCCCATTGCTCTGGTGGCACTATCAAAAAGAAATCTAATGTTAGTTTCGTAATCTTAAGACCTATTGCAGCGATATCTGCCGCGAGCCAGTCGTAAGGTTCACGAGTGCCGCCTGCGGTAGTAGAAGTTATAATAACAACTGACAAACAAAAATTAAAAGCCTTTATAAGTAATGTAAATTATACGTTGTGTATTTTGTAGCGACATGTGTGATAATGCGATCAAGGGTTTCCTCATTAAGAACGCAACGTTTAAGTAAATCGTGTATCCGAATTTTAATTACGAAATTCAAATGTAAATAATTAAAAAAGTTAGGCGGGTAGTTGTAATGTTTGTGTTCATTGGTTCCGTGCGGTCATTCGCCTCGCGCGACGCACCCTCCCGCCCCCGCCACTCGCCGTCAGCGGCCGGGGGTTGTCTTGTCATCACATAATTATATTATGTAACATATTTGGTGCCGGAAAAAGGGGGGAATCGGGACACTTTTTAAGTTCGACATTGATTCTTATCGTTTTTTTTGTAGTTATTATAGTGATAAAACGGAGATCATAATGGTTCCGATAGTTTAAATTTTCATTTATAATGCATTAAGATATAGTTTATTAAAGAATAATCATAAAAAGTTACAAAAACTCACTTTCCCTATATACCCAGGCGTTAGGGTGAATCGGGTCGCTTATGGAGACTAGAGTTTTTCGATAGGGCTGACACTATTTAGTTGTTAGGTAGGTACCTAACTTTAGGTAATTTACTTTTTAATATCTTTAACGAGTTACAAAACTTTGATGACTAAATTAAACTATTTAATATTCTAACACTAAATAAAAGTCATTTTTTCTCCTACCGAAAAGTTTGGTTTTCGTCCCGCTGTACAGGGAAGAAAGTGTAACTTTTCGTCCCTGGGTGAGTGCCCATGCGCGTTAGTGTCTACGTCTGCTCTCACGCGCCTAAAATCTCCGCCATTGTTGTGCCCGGGTAATTTGCAATATTGTGTTTAGTGTAAAAGTGAAATAAACAAAACGCAATAAAATTTAATAGTGAAGTATTAAGCAAATAATGAGTTCATCAGACAGTTCTTATTCAATTAGTAGTAGTTTATTTAAAAATAAAAAAAAAACAGTTAAATTGTTTTTTTTATGAGTATGTAAAATTGCTGCGGCAAACACGCGGGAGGAAATGTCCAATTTTTCTCCCTTGGTGCACAATGTACTATTCACAGTTCAACAAAGTTAAATCTAACAACTCAACAAAGGTATTGTGACATCACAGATTTGTCCCTGTTCCCCCCCATCTACTGTAGGTTTTCTGGTTGTATGTCGCAAAGGCAGCTAATGGACGTCCACCGCTTTCCCCGACGTCTCTAGATTTCATCAATGCATTTTTAATAGGCAACCGGACATTTGTATTAAAGAAATCTAAAAAATACAACGTTACAATAGTTTTACAACGACTGCCCAACCCTTCAAACAAAAACGCATTATTGCTTTACGGCAGAAATAGGCAAAGTGGTGGTACCTACCCGTGCGGACTCGCAAGAGGCCCTACCACCAGTAACTGTATAGAATCTTTTTAGATATCCCAGCAATTGCAGCTGAAATAATCAAGTATATTGAATAATGTATTCATTTGAGTTATTTGTATTATAAAAATTACTAAGTAAATTTTTATGATACGCTAACTTGATAAATAGATACGTAGTTTATTAAAAAAAAGAATAGGTATTCACATGTATACATATATTTATATAGAATATGAATGAATCGATTGCAGATTTTATTGTGTTTTAGATGGCAATGAAATAGAAACGTTTGGTTCTTTTTTTATGATATTGGCTTCGGAATCACATGATTTGATTACCAAAAATATAAAGCTAGCATTATCTGCAACCAACCTTGCAGGCACCTCTATAAAACTTGTTGAAAACAAAACATACCTAATATTCGGTCAAATCCTGGTGCGTGTTGTCCCCCTACACTCTTAACTCGCGCGGAACACTCGGGTGTCTATAATGTTACGCAGGATTTCATTCGATAACTTGGTTAACGTAAAATGGCCCTTTCTGATAACGATTTACGTTCATACCCCAATCTAGATTCATAGGACCAATAAATATAGGTCATATCAACATTTTCAACATTAAATTTAACATTACAATTTTTTATTGGGTCCAAATGTATTATTATTTGTATGTCCATACGAGAATTTTTAAGTCAAGATATTTCAAACTAAAAAAGATACTTAAAAACCGATTCTGTAGCTTAAAGATACATCGTATAACAAAATAGCTATAAATATAAAGTGTATTTTTTTTTTCTAAAATACTTCTAGACAGTTCCGACAATGGCTAACACTGAATTCGCGACTTTGGGAATGTTGGGAATGGAATAGCCATTCAGAAGTGTAGATCTCTAAAGTTCTCTAAATGTTATCAACATATATTTTTTCTCTATTTGAATATGTATTGGTGAAATATTAATAGCTATTAGAAATCGATTGAGATCATACATACATTAAGTTAAGACTTCAATTGATTGGTGGTAAAATGTACTCTTGAAGTGAAGCGTCCGGCTTGAAAAGTGGTATAATCAAAATACCGCTGAGAGATAACGTTATGATGTCTACGGGCCTCACCGCTCGACACCGGGTGAGCCGCGTGACCCACTCGCCTTAGAGCAAACAAAAATGCAATCTAGCTGGGGTAGCATAATTCGTCTTAAAACAATCGTATCCCATAATATTACAATGTGTTAATTGCTAATGTACAAAGTGAGTGTATTTGCATTGCTATAAATAATGCTTAAAATAGATCTGTTTAGTTAAAATATATTCTTCAAAATTGGATTCTTTGAGCAATAAAATGTGCTGTTCGAATACTTTTGTATAAAGTATGTGTATAATAAATAAGAGAAAAAAAAAAACAAAATGTAAATATTTGTAATGAAATGATTTATTAATTATGTTAATCGCTGCTGTTTGTTTACAAATTACTATCGTTTTTTTTCAACTAAAAATAAATATTTCACAAATCTATGTAACAAATTTTTTTTTTTATATATTGGATAATTCATATCCTGATACAAATCCCAAATTATTGTTTTTTTTTTACATAAAATTTTCATATATTTTTTTAAATTATATGAATGAATATTATGTTCGTAAAACATATTTAGATTTAAAAAAACAAAAACAAATATTTTGTTCGTTGCGGTGTTCGCACGTACCTACCCGGTGGCGTATGTATAATGTTTATGTTAATGTATGAAATATTATAGGTACGAAATGAAAAAAACTTGTAACTTATGAGCCTGAATAAAATTTTGATTTTGAATTACGTTTCTTTATTTTAAACATCAGGAAAAGGGTGAGCGCAGTGACCCTTCGATGACCTCGCGTGCAATCAGTGTACTTAGTGCGAGTTTTTTAACGTTCTCGCATCGTATCTCTATCGTAAACGTTTGCCTACGTTTGCCGCTAGGGGCGCTGTTCTAAATGCATACAAATTTGAGTTAACTTTTACGTTATCGAGAACGTTAAAAAACTCGCACCAAGCACACTAGTTTACTTGATGTCCTCACTGTAACATAAGCTGCCATGGGGCGCACAAGCAAATAATTAATCTAAGAACTGGGAAAACACTAGTCTCCAAACGTTGGAGATAAAGATTTATATTAAACCCAGAAATAAATCTATATTTTATACATTTTAAATAGCGAACCGAATTTATAATTCTTGGAATGTCTTTGGTAACTTTACTGTCTTTATTCGTGAGACAATTATCGCGCGTCTAAGACAAGCTATTTAAAGGAAAACTGGAACGTTGGTAGATTTTGCATATAAGTAGTAAGTCGGTCAACGATTCCTAGGTTTTTGTAGAAATTATGTAGTTTCCACGGTCGGCTGATAGATGTCGCCGCTCGGCGCCTCACTAGACGTTAAATGTCCTAACTACAGTATACATGTAGCATGTGAAGCAGTAATGCGTTTCGGTTTGAAGGGTGAGGCAGCCGTTGTAACTATACTGAGACCTTAGAACTTATGTCTCAAGGTGGGTGGCGCATTTACGATGTAGTTGTCTATGGGCTCCAGTAACCACTTAATACCAGGTGTGCTGTGAGCTCGTCCACCCATCTAAGCAATAAAAAAAAGTTTCCACGGTCGGCTGATAGATGTCGCCGATCGGCGCCTCACTAGACCTTAAATGTCCTAACTACAGCATACATGTTTCAATAATTCGGATTACGTATCCGTGTTCTGGGTGCGTATGACGTCCCAGTGCTGGGGAACGTGCAGGAAGTACTTCCTGGCGGCCGCGCAGAATCGGCTCCGGTACTGGTCCGGGGACACCACGGTCGGCTGG